GCGTCGTCGGGCGTTACGTGCGGCTTGTAGCAGTGTAACGTGGCGGTGCACGCTGGGGCACGGTGCATAAGACAGATGTTGTCTCGATGAGCAAATAAAATCGAGGGAAAAGGAAGCGAGACGACGACGATGACGGTGGCGACAACGACGACGAGGCTATACGCTACTACCGCCTGCCGTTCCGTTCCACATCCATTATCTTCTGCATCGCTCGAGTAAAAGCGAGAAAATCCGGCCAGGGGAACACGGCGGACTCGGCACGCGCGATTAAGAAAGCAATTAAAATGTGGAGAACATTTCTCTCCGCGGGATTGAAAAATGACTCGCTCGTACGTACGGCTTCCTTTTCGCTCGTCGATTTCAAAGTTTCCTCGCCGGAGTCGGCGTCACTTTCGTGCCGGCGCGGAAGAAGAAACGATCGACCGCGCCGGTGCGGCGCGGATGAACGCACGTTCGCGGGAGATTGAAATTTTCGTGCCGCACTCGGCACGGACACTCACGATGCCGTTATACGGCAACGGTGCATCGCGCCGCATCGCCGTGGAATTGTCGTGCGACCCTCGATCGTGAAATGCTCATCATCGTCCGTGCGGCATCGTCCTGATCGATTCGACGAAATGATAATTCCTCGGTGACTCGGGAGGTATATCGCACCGGCTCGGCGCGCCCGCGTTTTCACGCACGTGACTCCCGTCCGGTCGACGCTGGGCTGCATTCCGAGTCACTGCACTTTCCAGCGGTCGCCGGCCGCGTTCACCGGGAACTCGGGTGAATGCCGATTACGAGCCAACGCTCACCCAAGGCGCCTGTTGAGGATAAATCCAGCGCGCACAGGAATAATCTCGATGATCCTCTCGCGATGACGAGATTTTATTAACGGATCTACGAGCCGTTTATCAGAGATACGTCTAATCCCATCAGAGACCCATAGAGGCGATCGCTCATTCTTTCTCGCTTCTTTTCCTCCCGCCTCCTCGCGAGAGGAATTTATCGGCGGGATTAAGAGTGGCACGCACAATACGCGCTCGCTTACAGCTGCAGAGCGGCGATTTTGTATGTTAAGTTAACGGTGTACGATAACGGTCGCGTACGCGGATGTTAACTGCGCGATCTTCAACGCTGCCATAATCGCTGGCCCATTACTCAAATTACTCACCGTCACTATTAAACCGTATGAGAGATGCGCTGTGCTGCAGCATCAGGCGTGATGTTGCATCGCTCCTCAATTAAATCGGGAAGTGTATCCCATCGATCGGCCGTTGGATCGATCAAACGAATGCTGCCTTAAATTTATATCGACCTACGCACGAAAGACGTCATCCCGTCTGTCTCTCGAGGCTTCTCTTTATTATTATTATTATTATTATTATTATTATTATTATTATTATTATTATTATTATTATTGTTCTAATGATCATGACGCGTTGTGACATAAGAAGATACGGCGCATTATATGAATCTGAACTCTTTATGGCCGAGATATGCTTATCGTGCTTATCGAAAAAGCTTTCGGAAAAAGCACGAAAAAGCTTTAATTTTTATTCATTTTTCACGATGCTACGATCGTGAATAGAATATGAATATTAGTTTATTATGCGATATGAATATTATATTAGAGTGAATGTAAGCGACTCAAAAATACAACGTCATCCCTTTTTAAAGCGTGCTAATATTTCATTCGATCGATACGAGACGTAGTGAGACGTAATCGCGATGAAATTTTCATTTTTACCACAGGCGTACGAGAAAACGTGTCGTACCTTCCGCGGCTTGGCGCGGCGTTCGCCAGGTTAATTGCACGGGGGCGCGACTTCAGGGGCTGCTTCCTGAGCGCGATCGGAAGGGTGGCGCAGGCGCGAGACTTCTGCAATCCCCTTCGAGAGGGAAACCGACGTGCGATTTATCGGGAGGAAGGGCCGAAGTTTCCTCAGTGCTTCCGCGCGCGCCGAGCACTCGCGATTGTGCCGTGTGCTTTCGCGGGATGAAAACACTCGCAGAAATTCCGGCAGGACCTGCGACGAGTCGTCCCGCCAAGGAGGCCAACGACACGACGAGTTTGCACGATTTGACGGCGTGATTAAGCGTAGCGTTCGATTAACAAAATTTTACAAAGTGTCAGCAACCGTTCGCTCAATCGACTTGTGAATTCTATTATCCATCGACGGTCAAGAATAATTTATTTTTAATTAGTCCCGAATATCAATATTGAGTTTGACCATTGAGACCATTGAAAATAAGTTGGATATCAATTCGTAAACGAATCGATGAATTATAAACGTACGGCTTCGAGCGTACTCGATATTTCCGTTTGTTTTGAGCAAAAGTTTCGTTGCCTGGTACGCGATGTTTTTAAATAGCGAACGAACTCTTCCACTGGTACATTTTGACAGTTTGGTCCTTCTAGATTTTTATTCGAACGAATTTTGCAAGTTTTGTGCGCAAGAGATGAGGTATCTTGAGGGAGGCATTTCTCGCGATGATTTCACTTGTTTGTGAAAAAAGTCAACATGATTGGCGTGATTGTGTGCGTGTATTTGAGGGAAAACATTAATATTTAGCTGCATTTACTTCGTTTTGCGAGAGAAAGAGAGCGTTCGTATTTATTTCACTAATTAATAAAAAAATTAGGTTCGTAGGAGTATTAAAATGAAATATTAACGCGTTTCATAAAACGCGTGTTCTTTCGCATTTCAAAGTGTAAAGCGTTGCGTGCGTCGAGTCTTTTTTCTCGAGTCGCTCTGAAAGAAAATGCCTATTCATTAATCACAAGCACGAAGATTTTCCCCACCTGACTTTTGCATATGCGAACCGGTGGAACGAGGTGGATGCTCGTCAGCGTGCAACGGGAAAGCCGCGCCGAACGTAACGCGTGCGTTCGTAACAATTCACGATGTCTCGATGCCTCGCGATAAAGCGAAAGAGCGAAGACCTCGAATAGCGAACGCGGCTGTTTAGCAGCGGCGTGCATTTCCGGGACCCGGTGAGCGCGATCGATAGCTTTATCGGGATCACCACGACCGGTCTAAGGGGGTTGAAAGTGTTGGCGAAGAAAAAAGCATGCAGCTACTTTCCAGCTTCATGGGTCGGCACACGAAGCGAGGAGCCTCCTTTAAAAAAGGTACGTCGCGGATGAGCAGGCTCGCTCCAGAGCCACGTGATATTAATTAATTTTAACCGGCTTATCTCTGGAGCGCTCTCTGGAGCGAGGAAAGCGCGTGGCGAAAATTTCACACGGGATTTCACGGGGCTGCGATGCAAGAGAGCAATAATGTTTACGTCCTCGAGACGATCGGGACAGACGTCTCGAGATGCCAAAGTTTTCCGAAATACCCGATCACGCGAATAGAAGAGACGACTTCGAATTTTATCTTGGCGATAGATGAACGTAAATTTGCTAGACGTGTAGAGCCGATAGATCCACGCATGGATTCACACAATCACGCCTCGTTAATCCTCCACAGTAAACCTGAAGGGATCAAGTTCTAAATTACAGGGTACCCCCGAGGGTACGTGCTATAATTAATGAAACTGCGTCATACGTGGAAGTAATATGTCGCTGTTTATCGCTGGGATTTTTAATTAGCACTGGGGAGATTATTCTTATTCCCATTTTTCCGGCTTAATTCACGACGTTGCTTCCTTCCACGAGTGATCCGCGTGGCACGGCACGATATGAACGCCGCTTATTTACCGGTTCCGGTTGTGACACAACGGGACCGATATATCAACGGTTAAGTCAACATGAATGCACGAACGAGATCGCGTTGCGTTACCCTCGTAACGCGCAACTCGAAACTATATAGAACGCAGCGCAATGGAATATTAAGGCGACGTGAGCGGGCGCATGATCTAATAACTTATTTGATCGATACCCTAGGAAATGCCTGTGTAGCATCGGCGCGAGACCAGCCTGCACGCTCACGCGATGTGGGATGCTCCGTGACCAGTTTTGTACGGTACGACGATCATCGGGAGCATCGAAATTGTTTTTTCGTAGAGACGCCCTCGTGGAGACCGGCCGACGCGTGGCCGACGATGAGCAACCCGACGCGAGCTCCCTTCCGAGTTTCGAGCTCCTCACGGCGTCACGGCCTGAATGCTGGCTGGACGTTAAGTCATCGATTAATGCGTAAGAAACTCGTAACGCGTTTCTGCACACGCGCCGAGTTTCTAAATATAAATTTTGCCGGTATCATGCCGGGATTTATGTTTAGTTTATCAACTTTTGTTCGTCAACCGCGAACGCTCGTGCTCTATCGTCCTCTTCGTTCGCGACACACGCGCGGCACACGATTACA